TTCCCCCCCACCGCCGCGAGATTCAGCCCCACGCTGGGGCAATGGTGTCCATAAATGCAGTACTCGACATCGCAATCCTGGCCATTCACGCAGGGATTCAATCGCGTAAGGTAGGCGATGGCTTTGAGCTCCTCCTCGCTGGCTTTGTGTTTGTGCTCGAAGACGCATTCGTCGCCCTTGGGACACGGGCCGCGGAGGTAGTGGTTATTGCATAGTTTTGTGTTTCCGGCGCGGCGCTTGGTGCGCTCTAGCACGACGGCCGAGATGGTGAGGGTGGGATCTAGACCGCGGTCTCCGGGGACCCAGTCGTCGAGTTTAGGGTGCGGCGTGACAATGTTGACCGCAGCGGCTGCGGCAGCGGCAGCAGCGCCAGACGTGCCATTCTTGAGAGTCACGGGGAAAACCATCGGTGGAGGCGTAGTAAGGGGAATGCTAGTAACGCCCGCCCAGGTATTCGGCGGCGTAGGGCTCTGATTGCGACCATTGCCTATGGCTTGGAGCTGTGCCGGTGGCAGGCCGCCGTGCGACAGCTGCTGGAATTGGCTATAGGGGGATTGGCGCTCGATGAGCTTGTCGTTGCGGAAGATATGGTCAAAGTTTAGGACGCGGGTGCCTGTGGCGGCGAGCTCGCGCACGATGGGGGTCCCCTCGATGATGGAGACGCGGCGGGTGGTGGATTCGTCGCGTAGGACTTCGTCGAGGAAGGGGGCGTAGCCGGCGTCGTGGGAGACGCCGAGGAGGATTTGTTTGCAGTTGTGGTTTCGGATATTCCATCTTGTGGCCTCTGGGGAAATGGTTCGTTAGTTAAAGTGTCACACGATCAAGCCCGCCACAGCTGCTGGGCGAGGGGGAGCATGCATTACCTCTAATCTTTGAATCCGCCCTCTCCTTGCCATGCCCAACATCAATAAAGTCAAATGAGGCCTTGCCCTGCGTAAAGCCTAACGTGAACTCGCGCAGATCATCGGCATTATCCAGTACGCCCACGCGCTTCATAGCCTTAGCCAGGCCAGAAACATTCGCAAAGATTTTAGCTATAACTTCGACGTCGTCTGATATATTGGGGCATTGTTCCAGGGCGGCGTTTCGGAGGGCATTGGCTGCCTTTTTACCGCCCTCGAGTCCTTGTCGTATATATTCTTCGTGGAACTGGTGAGGGAAAGATGTCAGCGTTGGATCATGGCTGAGACAGGATGAGGCAATGGGGGGTCCTTACAATGGTACCATCACCGTCAATTAACAAAATTATGTAGGGATTTCGGTTCTGTTCTTGTGAGCTAATGGCCGCGACCACGGAGGAAGTGTGAGCTGTAGAACCTTCAGAGATTCATTGTCGGTATTATATCGTCCCAGTTGCGCGCTTGTAACACTCAGCTGCTGCTGCATCTCCCTACGACTACGTCTGGCATCCTCCAAGTCCAGCTGCGCGTCGTCTAGCTCTTTCGAAAGGCGATCGTTCTCGCCGCGGAGGTCGTTTTCGAGTTTATCAATGTAGACAAGGAGATCCTGTAGGGGTTGTGCCCGTCAGCGCGCGGTTCGGTCGAGGGTCAAACGGGGGTGGAGTGGCTGGCTGGTAACGAACCTTTATAAAATTGACAGACTCTTCTTTTTGGGCTTCAATAATGCGATACCGATCAAGGAATTGGGCCATTGCTCGGCGTATGTGCTCGAGAGTGTCGAACTCCCTCCTGTGAAGATTTGGTGAATTGGAGACCCGTTTGGATCCTCGCGGTGGTCTATGGACTGTGCTGTGGTCGACTATTTAAGTTTATTATGAACAAATCTCTGTCAGTCAAACCGCAAACTGTTTCTTCAGGCAGGGAAGATTAAAGATTAAATAGGATATTCGGTGGTGAAGTAATGTTTTTCCAGATGGGGTTTGTGTTGGGGGAGTAAGAAAGTTGGAATAAGTAACTTTTGGTGTTACGACGAAGGTGACTTTTGCTACTTTTCAGTGACTTTTGTGGTTAACCACGGCCGTCTATCTCACGTTAAGCTTGACCAAACCGCTGGCGACACGGATAAGACGACGGGGGGAGCAAACAGAACAGGGATGCGGGCGTCAAACGGTTGAATGTTCAGGGACCTTTTATGTTTTTTAGTTTTACAGGAGGGGAAAGCAGGTTTATCTATGTATTATTTTTAATTCTCTGTGCTATTTACACCTGTTATTACATTTGCGACTGTATTCTAATCCCATACAGTAAATTTGAGGTGCGACGACCAAAAAAAAATATGAAGGAACCTTATCAGACCGCACCTATCTATCTATCTGCCATTACCCGTTCGGGAACATCAACAACATCAACTCCAACGACGTACAACAGAGCAGATCATGCCCAAACAATAAATACCTTCACCGCAATATACAAACACACAATAACCCATTCTATTCTAACGCATACTGAGTACTGAGCACCGAAATCTGTTATCTCCACTCTGCTCTGCTGTTGGTTCCACAATCCCGCTGCCTAGAAACCAACCCTGCGCGGTAAAACCGCTGTTGGAATATACGCGCCAACTACTTACTTCGCGCCGTGTATTAATATCCCCGTTTCACACCCCGCATCCCTGCCTAAACAAACATACTAAGTCGGTCATGTGCGCGAAGATCGAATTTGAAAGCCGGTTTAAAGCTCAGGAGTGGGGTTCTGGTCTTAGGCTCGACTGTTTGTGTGGCAGTCATCATCAGTATTAGCACAGTGTTAACAACGCCCTCCAAGACTCTAAAATTAACCACAAGCGCCTATTACCAAGGTGTAAAGTTGAACATCCATGTTATTTTTTATAAAGTTTTTGCAATCTGGAGTATTACATGTATCAAAGAACAGAAAATCTAAAAGCATACATAATCAAACAATACCAACCCATCCATCCCCAACCAACCCTAGCCGCCCGCACCCAACACATGTATTATATAAACCCCGTATTAACCCACAACCATCCCAAACACCCTACTCCACCCCCGCCATACCGGCCGCAGGGTGACTAGCAGGCGGGTCTTTGTGCAGCACATGGTGGCCCTCCCTTTCAATTACCTTCGTCGTTCCA